AAGGAGAAATATTTCAACACTAAAAGCAAACCAGTTAGATCAGTTTGCACTTGGATGGTTCATCACTAATAAATTATGGTTACTAATAAATAATGTGAAACAACTTTCAGATCTGAAATAAATCTTATGCCAAGCATTTGCTAGGACTAAAATGATTTCCCAGAGTTCATAACCCAATTAATATTTAATTATTCATATTATGCCTAGTGTGGCAAACATACCTGTGTTTTGCATCTTTGATGCCTTGAGGAATGTTGGAAACTGATTTCCCTCCTCCCTTTAGTATTTTACTATATTTACTTTCAAACATTCAGGGAACTTATGAAGGATGTTGTTTTTCACCATGCATAACTGCAAGATTAAAATACATAAAGTAGGCAGAGGTGATATTCTGGCAGTTCGGACAGGTTTGCTTGAACCGGTAGCGGAAATCTCAGGTGGCCCCACCCACTCACCCCAGCTCTATGACATCACACGTAGGCACTTTTTTAAGCCAAAGCACATGCTTGAAAGGCTGAGCGCATGCACTCACACTTGTGAACTGGTAGGGAAGGTAAGTGAATACCACCCCTGAAAATAGGATTGTAAGATATATTCAGTTGAATCAGACTTTCACACCCTGCTGACCTTCCGATGCATTGGGTTATAATTTCAACTATTCCTGTGAGCTTTACTGTTGACAGTCCTGAATTTGGATCAAAGAATGTATAGAAGACATACTTATCAGGCACCAAGTTGTGGAATGTGTAGGTGAAGAACAATCTCAAGTAGAGCTAAAAGGAAAAAAGGAAACTCGTAATCCTGCCTTTGAATTGTTAGAATCATTAAAATAGTATTTATAAATAGTGCCATCCAGATGTTGACAGGCCATTGTTTTGAAGAAGAAAGATATGCATTTAATACTAATGCAGAAAATAATTAAGTACATAGTGGTAGAATTTCTGTAGTTTGGAACCTCAGAGCTTATTGCTCAATTAAATATGTAAATTTGGTTCAAGAAGCTGTCATTTTATTACTTGCTCATGAGACCTTACACCAGGGGTGTCAAACCCATGGCATCACATTTTCGTCACGTGATGTATCACGACTTTCCCCCCTTTGCTAAACTGGGGGTGGGTGTGGCCACCATGTGATGCATCTGGCCCGCGGCCCGCAAGTTTGACACCATTGCCATATAAGATCCTGCTCTCTAGCAGAGCTGGAAAAACTACATCTTAAGAAATGTGATTGCTTAATACTGATGGCTTGAAATAAGTTCTGCATGTGTTTCTGCATTCTGATCCTCCAGTCTATTCACTATTCTTTGCTTTTCACATTTTATTCTGGGCCAGATTCATTGATTTATGCTTCATGCATCGTACTCTCTCATATCATTCGGAGGCACGGGATAAAATACCACCAATATGCGGACGATACGCACCTGTATCTGTCCGCCCCGTGCCAACTCAATGAAGCGGTGGACGTGATGCACCAGGGTCTCGATGCT